TCAAATTTGGATAGAATTTTAGGATAAAATTGTTAATTTAGAGTTTTATTTTCGATAAAGTTCCAATATTTCATATGTACAAATTAAATTATAATTTTATTAAAAAAAAATAACACTCTAAGAAAATCTTGCGTGGACCTGGTCCACAATAATGTTATTGTGGACCCGAGGTTTATACACATACAACTGACATTATATGGAACATAGTGACCCTTAATTTTGACATAGTAACCTTATTTTTAACATAATAATCTTTATTAAAACTAGTATAACGTTTAATATTATTGTGAACTAAAAGTACAACGTTATGACCTTAGTTTTGACATAGTGACCTTTATTATTCAAATTAACAAGTATATAAAATATTTCATTAAAAAAATTAACCTTTTATAGCATATATATTACCAAAATGGCTTTTATTTCAACATAGAGACCTTTTTTCTATTATAGTGACCATTTTTTTTCTAATAAAACAATCATAGTTTTCCTAATGTTAGTGGTCCACAATAAATTAGTGTGAACCAGGTCTATTTAAGAATTTGTATCATAAATTATCATATAAATTTATTTTTTGTATCATAGTATTTTTTTTGGAGCGAAGTAATTAGCTCAAAATGCACCACATCCATTATTTATAATATATTCTAATCAATTAAAACAATATACTTTACAATTTAATATAATTTTATTACTGTGTGTAGACCTGTTAATCGGGTCAGGTCACGAGTCATTTCGGACAGGGTCATTATTTCAGGTTAAGGGTCAAGAAATGTTTTTCACCAATGTTATTATTATTAGTCATTACATGCCTACTATATAGTTTAAATCATCACAAAAACACATAAATTCTTAACTAATTTTGTATCAATGATATGTTTTAAAATTTGACATATAGATTAAAAATTTATCTTAAAATTCAATAAACAACCGTACAACCCGGGCTATAAAGGGGAGTTTTTTCCTGAGTTTTTAGAGAGCCACGTAGGATTTAATTTTTTCAGCGCGCCACATAGGATAATAAATTTTAGTGGTAGCCAATTAAATACGAGATTATTAATTTCTTTTGGAATTAAATAATTTAACTGACACGTAAGTAAAATTGGTGAATGAGATTATCCAGTTTAAATTAATTAAATATAAAATATTATCTTTTAATATCAGGAATTTTATCTAAACATTTAACAATTTTTAGCATATAAATATATATGTAAAAATATTATTTTAAAAAATTCAAACAAACCGTGCATCGCACGGGATTCATCTAGTAAATAAATAAAGTAGGCATTTTTCGGAAGCATTCGGGGCGCCACATAAGAAAAGTAAATATTTCGTTTAATGATAAATTAGATTTGTATTTTAATTTTGAATAAAAAATTTGTATCGCCACGTAGGTAAAAGTAGCGAATAAGATATGGTATTTATCTTATAAAATTTTAATGCCACAAAAAAATTGTATCGCCACGTAGGTAAAAGTAGCGAATAAGATATGATATTTATCTTATAAAATTTTAATGCCACGTGGATGAAAAACCACAAATTTTATTTATCATTATCGTTATTTATCTTATAATAATTTTCATCTATCATTATCTTTATTTGTCTTATAATAATTTTTTTGGAAAAAAATTATCTTAAAAAGAAAAGTGCACAAATTTTACCCGTAGAATAGGAATGACAACTCCACTTTAATAATGCAACCGAATCAAAATTATCTTATAAATGATTTTTTTTTTAACCATTAAAGTATAATAAGTATGATAATTCCACTTTAATACTTAACACTTCCGGTCAAATAAAAATTTAAGGGAAAATTATCTAGCTTGTGACACTATATCACAAATGCTAAATAATACCTCCGAAAAGTATCATTATAAGATAAATTTTGATAGTGTTTATGATAAGAAATTAAAATTGTTCATTAAACATAATTAAATTAAATTTTTTTTATACCTACTGTTATAAATTGACATATATACGACACCAACAAAATTTCATATTTATACAAAATTCACATCTAGAGAATTTTGTATTGGTAATTTTGTGTCAGTTTTAGGTCATCAATGGTAGGGTACTTTTTAGCTTAATTTCATATGTTTGTATTTTGTTTGATGAATTTCGTTTTTACATGCATATCAGAGAATTAAATTCGAGCAAAAATGATTAAAAATTCAAAGTACGAGTTTTTCACCTGTTTGATGTACTAAATTTCCGCAAACAAAATAGCTTAATAAGTCTGGATATGGTAATATTGGACGAAGAGGTATTTTTAAAAACAAATGTTGTGATTTGGATTGCATAATCAACTTATTAAATTAATTTAATTTCTTATTTTTAATTTCAGGGTGATTACACAAGTTCATGCCTCAATTTAAAGCCAACTGTGTTCAACATTTTTGTCCAAATTTGATTGAAGACTATGAAATGTTTACTCTATTAGAAACTTTTCAGTCGTTCCAAATAATAAGCAATATCGCGTTGTCATATCGACAACAAAATAATGATTCAATAATTAATGATGAAAAAATTTCAATGCATAGATTTGATTTTATACATTTACAATTTTTAGATATATTCCGCAACAATTATATCGATATTTTTTATTAGGTTTTAATAATATTCTTACATATATTTATGTGTATCTAATAATTATTTTTTTTTACATTTTGCTTATGTGTTATTTTTTTATTGTTCTCATTGAAATATTTATTAGGAAAAACAAGTTTATGTAAAGCTTTGGAATAATATTTTTGTTGAGCATACGAAATAGAAAAATCAACTTAAGTTTGTTTTTTTTAAAAAAAAATATTCTTATTCATTAGTCAAGTATGCAAAACTTGAATTTGTTAAATTGAAATAAACTATGAAAATATTATCTCATTCGTCGGGTGGTTAAATAAAATCATTTAGATCGATCAAAAGATTTTTTTTTAATTCTATTAAAAAAAATTAATTTTTTTAAAATATTCTAATTCTAATATAAAAGATAATAAGAAATTACAAAATAATATACAAAATTAAATACAAAAAAACCGTTAGTTTTAGCCAATTAAATAAGAGATTATTAATTTCTTTTATAATTAAATAATTCAAATACCACGTAAGCAAAATTGACGAATGAGATTTTTAAGTTTAAATTAATTATATGTAAAATATTATCTTTTGATAGTATGAATTTTATCTAAATATTTAACAAATTTTAGTACAAAATTAAAAAAAAATTTAAAAAAATTCAAAAAAAAAAAATTGTGCATTGTACGGGCTTCATTAACTTGGCGCGCCATGTGAGATTATAAATTTAAGTTGTAGCCAATTAAATACGCAATTTCTAGCATACTCCTGGAGTACCATGCACACGGTAATCCAGGTTTTATAAAACTCATGTTATTTTGATGTTAACTCTTTGTTACGTCAAATTATGTATATGTTATTTTTAAATACATGTATGTTATTTCGCCATTTGTCTTATTCATCTTCCTCCCGCACTCACTCTCTCTTCCTCTCAGTTATTCCAACTCAAAATCATACATTTTCTCTCTCCTTTCTTCTTTCAATTTTCTGGGTTTTCTAGGAATCAACCTCACTCTCACTCTCACTCTCACTCTTTTCCTCTCACTACTCCAACTATAAATCTAACACACTTTCTCTCTCCTCTTTTCTTCTTCTAATTTTCTGTGTTTCTTAGAAATCAATTGATTCGAAGGTAATTTAAGAGTGTAAATGTGTTTATTTCCAGAAATTTAGTATCTTTTAAAATGTTTGAATCTCTTCAAGATGCCTTAAAACTCAACACTGCTAATGTTATTTTGATGTGAATTTATTATCATTTCAATTTATATATATATATATATATGTTATTTTTAAATAAGTACATGTTATTTAATGTAAATTAAAAATAGCATAAGTTGGGGTTGAAGTAATAAATAAGTAAATAACATATTATTGTAACAAAATAACACAACATTTAAACAAAATAATATAAAGTGTAAACAAAATAACATAAAGTTTACGCAATTGTGTAAGGAGTACCATGATCCATAGTACTCCAAGAGTATATAATACTAATTGATTAAATAAGAGATTATTAATTTCTTTTACAATTAAATGATTCAAATGTCATGTAAGAAAAATTGACGAATGAGATTTTAAAGTTTAAATTAATTAAATACAAAATATTATCTTTTGAGATTAGGAATTTTATCTAATATTTTAAAACTAATATAATAACAATTTTAATCACATAAATATGATTTTTTTTTTTAAAGAAAAAAATACTAACAAACCGTGCATCGCACAGACTTCATCTAGTAATGTTTACTTTAGTGGAGTCATGTAAATTAAAATCTTAAAGCAGGGGTACCCTAGTTCCTTTATTCCTTTTAAGACGGTTAAATTGGTCAAGTATTTGCTGGACAATACACTTTGAGAGTGAGAGAGAAGGGTAAGGGATTCTCACCTCAAAGTGTCTTTGTTAGGGATTGAACCCCCAACCTTAAAGTTAGAAGGTGCTATCTTTTCCATTAGAATAAGCATAATTTGATAACTCGAACTTTTCTGGTTTCAAAAAGGATTGTGCCATTTGAATCTCGAGCGGTTACACTCAAACTTATTAATCATTCCTCAACTAATGAAGCATCCACATTTAATATCCCCTTCACCCTTGAAGATTCACATTTCATTCTTTAAATGAAATGTAAAAACCAGTCCAACAACAAACCAAACAAATTCAAACTAGTACGGGATATAAAATCCTTACCAATCAATTTCACTTTAATAAATACTTTGTAAATTAAAATTTGTTATATACATTCGAGTGCACCGTACAACCAACTAATCTAATATTAATTTTTGTTCTCCATTTAATAATTAAATGATAAACAATCCTCAAAATGAGGGTAAAATTTTCAATGTGTACAGTACACCACGGTGTATATAACTGTGTGTCGTAACTCGTAAGTACTTTAGTTACCCATAGATCGCAAGTTCGATCCTTTTCCTTCTCATTTTTTTTTTCGATTCCATCTCTGAAAACTCTCACTAGTAAGCAGTCACTACATTTCATTCAACTTCCAAAATCCAAAAAATTAATTCTTAACTTCCAGCTCTTTCCCACCGCCGTCAACCAAACCACCGTCTTACATTCCGGCGGCCATCGTGGCTCCGACCAACGCCGCGCAACCGGTTACAATAACTGCAAACTGGGTTCTTCCTCATCAAATTCAATATTCAAAGGTAAACCCCATTTGTCAATTGCAACTTTGTTAATTCAAGTTCATACATTTTTCTCATTATCAATGCTTTAATGTTGTTTTTAATTGATTTGTAGACTGAAACAATTGCACAATTCCATGTATAAAACTTGATTGTAGCATTAGATTAGAATACTGATGATAATTTTTTGTATTGGCAAGGTGAACCCTTGATTTATTTTTGATAGAATTAGGGGGAAAGGGGTGAAAATGAGAGGAAGAATTGGGTTGTTTATGAATCCTAGTAGTGTAGGAAGCACAACAATTGGGAGGACAAGTAAACTTGTTTTTTGTTCTGCCTTTTCTTCTGCTGGGGATGGTTCTGGCGGAGGAGGTGGTGGTGGTGGAGGTAGAGGGCGTGGCCGAGGTGCCGCCTCGGGTTCTCCTGCTTTTAATTTTGTGGCTGGAATGACTGGTTCAAATGAGGGATTGGATGATTCGGATGAATCATCGCCTCATCCTGCTGGACGGGGGCACGGTACCTCATTCCGTCCTTCGTATAATGGTTTTGTTGCTCCCAACCCACCGGGGCAGCAATTAGGGTTAAGTCGGGGTAGAGGTGGTCCGGTGCAGCAGGCGGGAAATGAAGAGGATTTGCAACCTAAGAGGCCTATATTTCTTAAGAAGGATGAATCAACAGGTAGTAGTGTTGAAGCTGAGTCAGTAGCTTCTATGCCTCGTCAACCCATTGGAGAGAAGAATTTTCCTGAAAATATACTGAATGTATTGGGAGGAGGATCAGGGAGGGGAACCATTGAAAGAAGACCGGTTGTGGAAACTAGAGCTAAGGAAGAGAATCGGCATCTTAGGCCAAGGCAGCAAATTGGTGCTCCTCCCTCTGAGGCTGGAAGAGGGAGAGATAGATCTGAGAAAGGAGATACGGGCTCTGCTGGTGTAAGGAGAAAGTTAACCAAAGAGGAATTAGAGAAGGCGAAAAATAGGGCAGTTGGTATCTTGTCCAAGGATGACGATGGAAAAGAGGGTGGGCGTGCTGCAGGAGGAGGTGATCGGAGACGAAGGGTTAGAAGACTGAAAGATGACTCAGATGAAGAAATGGATGAGGATGATGATGAGAATTTTGCCATGGGTGATGATGCAGATGGTGAGAAGTTAGCCAAGGCACTTGGACCTAGCAGGATGGCTGAACTGTCAGAGGCATTTGAAGACATGAGTACTGATGTCTTACCTGATCCTGAGGATGATGAGTATCTTGAGGCACTTGATACCAACCTTAAGGTAATAACCACTGTTTGTTTTTTTTTTTTTAAATAATTACTTGGACAGGCTATTTCATTTGTTAACTTCACCTTCGGATTGTAGATCGAATTGGAGCCTGAATACTTGATGGGAGATTTCGAGACTAATCCTGATATTAATGAGAACCCGCCTATTCCTCTTCGTGATGCTCTTGAGAAGATGAAGCCATTCTTGATGGCTTATGAGGAAATAGAGAATGAAGAAGAGTGGGAGGTATGCATTATTCTGCTACATTGCATGCTCTGCTATTAGCTTGTCCTCTTCAATGCTATTTAAATCCCTTGTAGATGAGTATTAATGTTTTTTATTAAGAAAAAATTTATGCAAGTTGTTTCTTGTATCTTTGAATTTTGATGCATATGGAATCCTTGATGCTTAGATTGGCCTTTTCCACTTCCCTTGCATTGATATTTGATTTCCTTTTAAATCATCCATTCACCCATCTTCATTTTCTACATGCACTAATTGCACTGTGAGATAAAGCGTACATGTTAAGATAGAAATTAAGTTTAGAACAAACATAGGTGTTTTTTTTTTTTTTTTTTTTTTTTGATAAAAACATAGGTGTATGCACTAGTCATATGGATATTAGATCATTTAAGCTGACTTGTTATGATGAGAAGAAATTTGAACACACACAGAGGTATATGCACTAGTTATATGGGAATTAGCTCTTTTGAAGCCTTTGTGGTATTTGGGGATGACCATGGTTCCTTCACTGAGGCTGACATATCAGATCTTGCCCACTCTTCTCTATCTTTGACTCTTCCTTTCTCCTATGCATAAGTTGTGTCTCTTCATTCTATTTCTGTAATGCGGTTAGTCATACTATCTACTGATCCGTGAACAATAATTATTAATGATTCCGTATAATGAAGTTGAAAGTTATGATTTGCATTTTTAGATAATGAATTCACTGCTGAGTTACCCATGGAATGATCATAATTTGGCATCCAATTGCATTTCCTGACCTGATTTTCCATTTGTCCATAATGGGGGTTTCCATGACAAGGAGCAAGTTTGTCTCTCTAAGGATAGATGGGGGTTTCCATGGCTGTATTGGAAATCGATTCCCAACTATTGGTATTCATTGACTGACAACAGAATATGATTTTAATTCTCTTTTACAGAGTTGGCTTACTTGTATGTATGATTCTAGAGATAGAAGTTGTTTTTCCTGTCTTCTCTATGATATCTTTACACTGCAGATTTTTTTATTCCCTAGCAAGATAGTGAGATGCATAGCTCTTAAGCTACCTGAGTATCTTCTATTTCTAAGCATTTTGGAATGTTTTTTCCTCGTGGCTAATTGTTTAGATGATTAATTCATTCTTCTGGTCCAATATCCATTTTTATTTACTGAAACCTATTGTATGGATTTTATCAGGAAATTATGAAGGAAACAATGGAGAAGGTGCCACTTTTCAAAGAGATTGTGGATCATTATTGTGGGCCTGACACGGTAACAGCAAAGCAGCAACATGAAGAACTGCAAAGAGTTGCAAAAACTCTTCCTCCTAGTGCACCAAATTCAGTGAAGCACTTCGCGGACCGTGCTGTTCTCTCACTTCAGGTTGGTCTGTCCTCCCTTGCAAAGTACATTTTTAGGGTAAATTTTTTTTAGGAGTAACCTTTGGCAGTATAATACCTTAACTTTCTGCTAAATATCTGTGGTGCATTAAGCATTTGAGCTTCAATTCTTTGCCATGGCACATGTATAATATAAGCTTTGAAATTTCTTTTACTATTTTTCTCTTTCTATTCTTACTTCACTAGATCAGAATTGTTAAGATGTTGATCCAAATATATAAAAGCTAAGAAAGTGATATAGATTTTGATATCTCTACCGGGCTCTAAGTGGGATGCTGATCAGTTATTTTTTGGTATGTCGATCGTGGATGAATTTTTAGAAACTTAGTGTCATCTATGTGCATCTACACAATTAAGGAAAGTAAATGTTTCTGCTTTTGATAGAGAGATGTACTAATTATATCATACTCCCTCTGTTCCTAAGTAATATTATTGGCTATATACTAAAAATGGAAAGAAAAAAAAATAAGATAAAAAATCCACCCACCCTGAACCTTACGGCTGTCCAAAATCAACCTGACCTGAGAACAATCTGACCAAATACAAAATGAACCATTTTCTTATCTGACCTGCATGAACACTCTGACCCGCAAGCCCAACCCAACCCTCCAAACTGAACACAACCTGCACCCCTGATTTGACAGCTATATTAGAACCTCACTTTCTCGGTACCTTTTCTCGCTTCATCAAAATTTCTATTCCTCTTGCTACTTTTTCCATCCAGTTTCAATTTTTATCGCATTATAACATGCAAATGCCACTCCATTATAATTATTTAATTGCCAAAGCCTAGCAGGACATTTAATTTGGGACAGGAAGGAGTAGGCTGAAGTTTGTGTGAGAGTCTATAGAGCTGCACGTATAGGCCAACATATTCTATAAGAGGGCATTAGTATGGACTTATTTGATAGATTTAGCTGCTTTGTCTTATTGCATAGAACTGTTAGGGATGTAAGCTTTGTGAAAAGGATGGTGATCACCCCACTTTTGTGCTACTGAGATAATAATGTTCTAGGGTGTGGGGGTGAGAAGAGAGCACATAATCTCTTTTGAACTTCCAAGTGTGTATGTTTGTTTGAGATTTTATCAAGTACAGAGCTTTGTTTGGAAAGCATGTGATGGCTAATGTTTCAGCTAGCATCTGACGCTTTTTTAAATATGCCTGAAACTCAATATTTACTGGATAGTGGATACTACCTAGACAAGCAAACAAACAACATTCTTTGGAGGGACAACCCACCCTGCTTGAACCCTCTAGGAATTTTATGTTTTTCACTCAAGCAGAAATGTACTCGCTTTATTCATGCTTGAGAATAATAGTGTTTTTTTTTTATTATTAAGCTGCATGATAGTGTTTATAATCTTTTAAATGATCATGTTATCTACTGGTTGAACTCTCTTTTAAAAATGTGGTTTCAATCGTTAATACACAGTAGTAATATTGAATTAATCTGTGATGCAGAGTAACCCAGGCTGGGGATTTCATCGAAAATGCCAGTTCATGGATAAGTTGGTGCTGGAGATTTCCAAGTCTTACAAGTGAGCAAAATTATTTAGCCTTGTTCGATTACTGATTGGCTGTTTACACCCTACAAGTCCAACAAAATCATGTTCTGGACATTGTAACATCCTTTTCCTAAAAAGGAGGATTAGTTTTGAATAACCCTTCATCCATTTACAGCTTTAGGAACTTATTTGTACTTGGTTGTATCTTTCCAATGTTGCATGTCATTCTTTTTGAGGCAAAATTTCATCAATCAACATGTGGGCATGCTAAATTAGACTTATATCGTTTGTCCATCACTTTGCAATTTTGTTGTTAGCTATGAGCCTATGATAGGCAAATTCGAACTCGTAATCGATTGATAGATTTGCTGAAATATAGAAGGGAAAGAAACTGTTCAATTGTAAGCATCAAAGTTCTTGAGACTGACCTAGTCTCTAGTTGAAAGACTTGATTTGTTCTTGGGCTGTCATTGTCCTCTTTAATGGACCAGGAAATACAATATAAATCATGCAACTTGTTAGGTCATTACCCAGTCAAGTTTGGGTCCATTCATGTTGCAATTTACTCTATTTTTATTTTCTCAAACTGGCTGATTTTGATACCTGAATTTCCAATTACTCCTTATTTTATTACCGCCAAGAAACCAATTCATAAAACCCAGTCACGTGGGATTTTGTTACGCCTGTATTCAATGTGTAATTAATTATAATTTAATTTCAGTTTTTTTTATAGTTGTATAATTAAATATATTTTCGATTGAATTTTACATTGATAAATGTGATTAAAAAAAAGTGTGAATTAATTTGGAACGAACAGAGGAAGTATATTTCTAGATACATTGTTATTGCTTTTGCTGTTGTACATAATAATTTCAAATTTTAACATCATTACTTTTTCTCATGCTTTCATTAGTGTTAAAATTGTTTAAAATAGTAAAATGAAGATCACATATTTGAAAAAAAAAAAAAAAAAGGGCATAATAACAACAATAATAACAAATGTATTTAAAGTAAAAGAACAAAACATGAATAATAAAAAAATTAATTTTCTTATGATCTTTTTAAAATAAGAAAATAGGGAAAAATAAAAATTAAATTAGTTGCTGTCGTATTAAACCACTATCTAACGTACTGTCGGGGGCTTAAGAAACATCACTCGTTTTAGCTATACCCAAAAATAACTCAGTCCATCTAAACATTCCACAAAAGCCCAAAATAACCTATGGACCGAAGCTTGGATTTATTGTGCATATTTCTGCGTAAAATAACACTCGAATTATTTCATAGTGGTCCAACACGTTGGTTGAACTATTCGCCTCCAACAAAATTGGCTAATAGATAAAAATTCACATGGTTTATGAATGTAACAAGGTTTTCGCCCGTGCGATGCACGGGTGGTACATAGATGCGTGAAAGTGATGATGAAAGACGCGTTATCTTAATAAATAGTCCCGGTAAATAATCGAAGTATAGATTAAGATTGTTGTAACAAGGAAATTTAAAATACGTGATCACAATTGTATATAATAAGAGGACAAAGTAGTTACGCTTGTAATTCACATTGCAAAATCCGTTGAAAATTCCTTACAAAGAAATAATAACTTTCTTATCAAATATAGTGATGGATATTATTTTACGTCCCCAATTTTAGCTCATTCAAGTCCTTTGTCATCCCTTGTTGCTAAGAATATAAAACAAACTAGATATATAAAACAAACTATATATATGCATACACTAAGTATGTTTAAGTGAAACCTAGGAATTAGTAGTATAAAAAATTTATGTGATGTTTAAACTATATGCATACGTACAGCCTTACATGTTAAGAGAATTTAGCCAAACTATTGATAAATTCTTCTAATTGCCTTCTGTAATCTAGCTGTTCCATGACATATTCTTTAGCAAGAAGACATGCCTAGCATAATATTTTTGGTTAATTTTTAGTTGATGTAAACAAATAACCTGACTTTTCTCTTCAAACCATATTTCAGCTTGCAGTAATTAAATAAAAACCCTCAATTATCAAGGTAAAAAAAACATATAATTATTGATCGATCCAATTTATTCATGACCTAAAAAAGGCGTACATAAATGGATATGGGATTCATTGTTACCATATTCCCTACAACTAACCCAACTACGAGGATCAAGATATAGTTTTAGTGACAGGGGTGTATATATTAAAAAGGAATGTAATAGATAAGGAAAAAATCTCTATCAATAACACATTTAATTGGTAAGGACTCCGCCACCATTTTATTATATCAACACAATTTAGTGAAATCAAAATTAAAGGAAATGGGAAAGAAAGAAAGAAAAGAAATGATGGGAAACAAAGGCAAAAAATGAAAGAAATTGACATGTAACAACAGATTAAACGTAGTGGTAACATAGTTGAGCTCACTTCATTTTAGTAATTATCCAATTCTATCTTTGCAATTAACAACACTACAAGACGCACAAGTAGCTGAATTTGTATCATCATCACTTCATTCTCAGAATTACCTAATACTGCTATCTAACCTTTTTTTTTTTTTTTAAAAAAAAAAAAAAGTATTATCAAATCTCCAATTATAGAAGTATTATAGAAATTGCCAACGGTATTGAAATCATAAATTAGGTGATAGACATTTGGTAGAACTATTGTATTCTTTCATCTTTTACGACCTCTGTTTTCTATTATATGCAACAAATTAAATGGGTAATACAGAGACTTTGTGAGAGATAATATATTTTTTTGTCGTTAATGATAAGAAACAGAGATAGTATATGGAATAAGATTAATGTCAAAATAGATAAAAGGTTAATTAATAAGTTAATTTAGATATAATATGGATAAGGAATTCCTATTATATAAAGATTAATAAAATTGTATAAAATAAGAAAAATGTTAATTCTGATAATTGAGGTCTTATACGAAGCATAAGATCGATAAAATAAGTATTTCAATATATAATTTATACCGTAACTAATAAATAAGACATGTACTACGTATGTAAAATTCCGGTGAAGAAAACACTATGTCACTACCTAACTCCCTACGATAAAAATTTAATGTACTGTAGACTGAGCTAAGCTCAATGGATAAAGAGATGATAATAGTATTACATGTGATAGAAGAATAAGTACTAAGGAAATGACAAGTTTTGCATGTCTAATGAGAGGTTTCTTAGTTTAAAAAGCGGAAGAAAGTGGTCAAGTCCAAAGATATAAGTTTCAAAGTTTCAATTGTAGAAAGAAATCCACATACGTCATCTAATCCTAGAGAATTAATTAGATGTTTAATGTCAAAGCTTCTAGACACACTATACTCAAATTATACATTGTTGGTTTTTTTTTTTTTTTTTAAAAAATTATTTATTTATTATTATTGATATTTTTTGTAAGCTCACTTTCATCCAAGAACAAGGAAGCAAATACAATAGCTAGAAGACTAGCAATTATAAGGGCCTAACTAGGATGACAATCATGACATGTATCTGATTACTTTGGCCTTAATTTAGTTACATAAGTTCCCATTTAGTTGCTTTTGGTTATAGCTTTGGATGTTATATACTTGAATTTCTATGAAATTTCCCATCCTTAAATAATTGGTTTGTGCACTCGGGTACACAGCCTATGAACATAAAATTCAAATTCAAATAACGTACATACAAACTAAAACAAATGAATATGGACCGACCCTAAAATAACATAATAAGAAATAAAACGAATGTACATAAATCCAAAAATCAACAAAAAATGTAATGTATAAGTTGATTGCAAATAACATGTCTGATCTCCGCATTGAAAACTAAAGAATACTTTAAAAAAAAATCCAAAACACACACGTTCATTTTTTATTCAAAAATAAAATGAACATGATATATGGGTCGTATTATTGAAAAATATATAAATTAAAAGAATATATAGCTCAAAAACAAATAAAGAACCTATAATTCCAAATCAGAGAACACGTTTCATATTTCAGTTCAGTTCATCGGTGAATTCACTTTAGCTTTAATTAGTTCAATTCAGTTCCTAATTTTCATCTCTTATAAACAATTCATTTTAGCTCATTTCAATTCAGCTCCAATTAGTTTAGTTCAGTAAATCAGAACAGACTCTAACTTGCACCTTTGAAGTGAGTAAAATTTTTTTGATTTAATATTTGAAGTTCGAATTTTTTTTGGAAGTTTTTTTTTTTTTTTTTTTTTTTTTTTTTTTCTGACATTGAGTTTTTTATTCACGCCTACAAAATTCTTGTAGTATTCAAGTTATTACTTCTAAGTATTTGGATATCAACCAAACCATGACCAATAATATCATGTTTTATTCACCTTATATTCATAATTAATCATCTTTCACCTTATTTTGTGGGATCCAATTATAAATAATATTTCGTAATTTTCTTACATCCTATTCTCTCCTTCAAATATGAATAGTACGAGTGAACCGTGAATAATCATTTTTTGAATTTTCAGTGATTTTTGTTTTACGGGTTTTTTTTAGTAAAATTAGGGAAACAGATACTCGTATAACCTAGGAGTAGTGGAATTATATTTTATAGTCACTAGCTAGCATATACTAAGTTTATATGATACTTGTATTGTAACAAGGCAAGATCGAGAGAGGTTGTTACCTATTTAATGTTATTACGTCTAATTTTAGTGAGGGCAGTTCAATGGTGTGCTTACATTTATAATTTGATGACGAATCGTAAGTTGGTTTATAATTTCACAACAAATTAAATCTCCTAATCTTTCCTTTTTTATGTCCTAAACCTCCAAATGCAATTTTTTTTTATCAAAATATAGAAAAGAAGCCATCTTATGCAAACCAAATCAATAGTAGGCCAAATTAATTAAGATTAAGTCTTTGCTACAAATTCTTTGGTTGAAAAAATCTCATGATAATTTTCTTTTATTGGTTGCTTGGAAATAAAGTACCCAATCAAACATGAATCTCATTAGTTATACGTAATATAAATGTACTTTTAGATGCTAATTATTTCAGCATAAACGTCACAAATTTTTTTTTTTATATAATTGCTTAAACATCAATTCATATACCAACTTTTTGGTATAATTATCTTAAGAAAATATATATCAATAAAACCTAATACTAATAAATCAATAATACTTTTATTTTTTTGTTTGATAGTATTTGTTTCTTTATTTTTAACATTTACTTGAAACCATAAAATGCAAATATTAAAAATGATATATTTGCATGGATAATTAAGAAATAATTGCATAGAGACTTGTACACAAAAGTAGTATAGTGTAGTAGCTAGATATTATTATTTTTGGTCCCATAAATACATGAATTGTGTCTATTATTTAGAATCCTTCAATTCTTTACCAAATCAACTGCTCAACTAGATTCCATAATCCATTTCTAAAAAGAAGGTTTAGTCCCACCTCTAA